GCTCACTTGTATCTATATCTAATCCTTGTCGTAGATATTATGCAAAGCCCCCTACATTTTTATGATTTCAATTTATAATATGTTAGGCCTACTCTTATAAACTTACTGAATCTTACCATCATGTGCCATTTGCTGACATCTAAATTACAACGTTAAAAATATAGCTTGTAACATTATTTGGAATGGTTATTATTGTCACATACATCTAAACTCTCACTGAAGTATTTTTTTTCTCCCCAGTGGTCAGAATTCCCTGTACAAGTGCTCAAGTATAATCAGGGTCTATCTATTGCTCCTAAATACATTTAAAATCCATTAACAATAACATTCTGTAGGTTTTTTGTTATGCATTTTATATAATGAGAAATAGCTGGGGCTTCACACTGTTTAAGGATACAGTTTCTCAAAAATATAAACATAGCTTTGGTAATAAAAGCAGTAGTAAACCACGGCAGCTTTTCTGCATGGAGTTGCATTATTTTTTTTAAAGAACAGTTTTGTTTATATAATCAAAAAATTGTGTTTTAAGGGTATTTGGTTTTGAACTGTGCCTTGAAAGTACTTTTTTTAAAAAATCAAAATGAGAAGAATGTGGAAAGGTATTAGAAACAATCTAAGGTGATATACATAAAGTTTTTAAGTATTTGTTAAACAGTTATGTTGGTTAAATGATAATTGTTTATGAAACAGTTCTTTTCACTTGAAAGTTCTAGGATAATCGTAAAATCTTTATTTATACAAGACTCATTAGCTGGTATAATTATGAATCAAATTTATAACTTTGTATTAAATCTTGTTTTGCTACACAAAACTATCTGTGATAGCCCTCTCTACTTTTTAACTAACAGACTAGAAGAAAAGCAGCTAGGTAACATTCAATTCCAACTCTTGAGCTACTCTAACCGAATAGCAGAATTTGACCATCATTTTCTTAACATAACCACAAAGTGGGAGCTTGATTTAGCAACAATAGGACACAAGTCTTGGATTCTCAGATTTACAGTTCAGATTTATTAGGCCACACTTAACCCATTCAATCCTGACTCCAGTCAGAGATCTTTTCAGACATATTAACCAGACTATATTAAGTTTATACATAAGCTCAATATTCCAAATAACAGTTTATTTTGAGTTCTAAATCAACATAACTAAAATATAACAAAATATACCTTGATAAGCTAATAAGATATAAAGATAAAGGCTATAATGTTTATTACGAGAAGCTGGAAGCACATTAAACTAGGTACAATCATACTCACATACATAACAGTTTCTCAAGAACCGTGTTAGTGATCACAACAGCTTAAAGGTTGTTTTATAATTAATTTTAAAACAATATTTCAACTTCTCTGAAAGTATTTGCACATCCTTATGAATAGAGATTTCTTTTAAAGGTCACCTCTAAAAATCTAATTTGATCTGTAAACATTTATATTGATTACACCTAAAATGCACTAATAATTCCCTCCAGAAATCGAGATTTCTGTGATATTATACACAACACAGTTCCTTCCAGAAGAAAAAACGTTTGGATATTTTTTCTAATAATATATAGACACATTTACAAATGTTTATATTTGAACACCGTAAACGTTGCTCCTACAAAAGTACTTTTTCTTCCCAGAATTATATAGCAGTTTATTTATTATATCAAAGTTTAGTTATAGTATAAATGTAGTTTATAATTTTTTGTTTAAATACGATCTTAAAGGAACTAAAAATTACTTAAGTTCTTTAACAATGTAGCTAAATTTGCAACTTTTCCAGAGGATTCCAGTAATCGGAAAAATTAAATCCTCAGAACTATAATTATATTTCCAATGCTTTTCTGTCATCACTATGGGAAGAATCAATTATCAGGTTATTTAAGTGTTATCAGTACATAAATAAAGTAATACACATTCTCAAATGCAAGTGCTTGAATTAAAATGACAAGTTTAAATCTTCTCTTTAAATATTTTCAGGCGAAGTACTGTCGTTTCAAAGATGACACAAGTTTGAAAGGAATGCATACAATATTTAAAGTTGAAAAAACTAACTTGAAATTGGTGCACTGAATAATTAAAATCCCACACGAGACAACAATTGACTATCAGCTGAATACCAACCGACCAGTTTTTAAATGTGGCATCTTAACAATATTCAGATACTGAATAAAAACTAACATTAGCTTTAACAATTAAAAATAAAATCTACTATTACAAACAGAGAATTTTATTCTCATATTTGTTATCACATTCTATAACTGGTAAAATGTTTCGAACTTTTAAAGCACATTTTGAGTTATACAGAATATCACCGAAAGAATGTTAACACTTCTCAGCTTTCACTTTGTGTCTAATAAATGATGTAAATCAATATCAATTAACAAATGGTGGTGTAAAAAAAGGCTACAGTATAAGTTATACCAAAATAATATATGTTAATTTGTTGCTACTCTTAGCTTCACAAAGTGATGATGTTTGACAATATTTTAAGTCAAGGATCTTTTTGCCCTTTAGTTAATAATAAAATAGTTAATGTTTCTTCACACAATTACTGTTGACAAAGAAAAAAAAACCAAAATATATTCTTTGTAAGTTTAATAAATTTATCAAACATGGTTGAAACAAAACAAATAATTATAAAGGAAAAAATCCCAGACAAATTTATCAATTTACTTCAAACATTCTTATTTGTTTATTTAAAAAAAATGCTGATATTACAGCTTGATGTATTGGTTTAATTTTTGGTTGTTATTAAATAAATGATAGTGAAAAATAATACAGACACTAGTGATTATAAACCTGGTTATACTACAGTTTATACAGTAATGGACTAAGACTTCTGTTAGCAAAGAAAACCTAAAAATACACAGTAAGTAAACATCTGTAGAAGAAAAAAAAGTTACAAGAATAAAATTAGATCAACATATGTACATATTATATCACAAATACTTATTCAATATCCTAAACCAGATCATAAAATACTGGACTAGATGGTACTCAAAAACGAATGAATGTGGTCCAATTTCCAGAGGTAGTAATAAGTCTGCCTGTACTGCACACGTATGCTTAAAATTGTGGAATATTGATTACTTTCATCTCTTTACACTGATATATGCATAATATGATGGGTGAAACTAACAGTATTATAATAAACTTCATTTCAATCGGTTTTTATTTTATTTTAATTCAGTACTGACTATTTGTAAGCAAATATTCACAAGTCTCTACAGTTATGATATATTACAAACTATGTACACTTTACTAATTTTCCACTTTTATTATTTCTTGTCAATCTAGTTGAGATGCACATAGAAAAATAATCATCACTCCAGAAGGTTACAGTATGATGTAAGGATACAGTCTCTCAAAAATATAAACACAGTTTTTATAATAAAAGCAGTAGTAAATTATGACAGTTTTTCTGCATCAAGTTGCATTATTATTTTTTGAAAGTTAAGCACAGTTTCGTTTTATTTTTATTTTCATTTAAGCATTGTTTTGTTTGAAAACAACTTTTTAATTATACAGAGTAATTGGTTTTGAACTGTACATTCAAAGTACTTTTTATCAAAATGAGAAGTATGTACATACAAGTTTTTAAGGTACACAAAAAGAAAACATTCATCACTCCAGAAGATTTGATCATTTAAAGGAGTTTGCAAAAGTTATCAGTTTTCAACCAATTCATCAGGTTGAAAACGAAGTTTTATAATAAATATTAAAAACACAGTAATACCAAAAAACATTTTTAATATGGACATTTGGAATTTCCTTAAATTCCATCATCAGTGTTAATATCTCAAAAAACAAAAATTAGTTTACAATATTCAAACTAAAAAAAAAACACATTAGCATTGAGTGAGTTTTCATATTTAATCGTACGTTTAGCAAGAACAGATTTAAATGGTAATAGTATAATGAAATGTATGATGGTAACTCTAGTCCAGCAAATAAAGCAGAGATATAATTGCAGATAGACAGATAACTGAGTCAAGTGAGCAGTAGTGACCATAAGTAAAGTGCGTGAATCTTTACGAATTATAGCGTGTGTTTAAGTTAAAGTGACTATCAAAATTCTGTGTATTGCAAAGTTGAACTGAGAAAGAATAAACCAGTTTTATTTAAAAAAGGACTTGTATTGCTGAAGTTCCTCGGGAAGAATTTATACCGGAAATTAACAAATGACCAAATATGCAACAATATTAATGTTTAATAAAGAACATTATTAAGAGAAACTATCATGGAGAAAGGCTTAAATATAAGTACAAACACTGGATCTTTAAAATAATAATCTCTTTGCCACATATGTTTACCGTAAGAAATCATTTATTGGCTTATACACTCGTTTTGACAGTTTCACACGAGACTCCTTCAAACATAACCTTGTTCTAAACTACCGTCTTCATTCAAAAATTTGAAAAATTCATAACATATTACAAAGTAACAGTTATCCCCTTAATTTCTTACACTCCATCACATGAAAACATTTAACAAATAAAATAGAATCTACCAAAAATCACACACTATCTTAAAATATCCACTAGTTCCTATCCTTCCTTTCATTGGCAAACAAAGTTTTAAACTCAAATATCAAATTCAAAAATTATTCAAAACATATTACCTACAAATTAAGTAATGTTTAGTACTTACATCAACATTTAGGATTAAAAGTATGTTTAAAACCAAAGACACTCTACCACTTCCTATGTGTTTATGGGTTCTATATAAAAAGACTTGTGGTAGCTGTAAAGCTACCCATATTGGTAAAACTACACGTCATCTACAAACATGTGCACACTATGTACATAGGAATTTCAGCTAGAAGCGGATGTAAGCTAAGTAATCCACCTGAGTCTGATTACACAGTGAGAATAACAACCACCCCATACTTCTAGAAAACTTTAAAGTTCTCGACTCCAGAATCACAGATTACAAATTCTTTATTAAAGAAAGCCTCTCCATTTTCAGTGACCACCCAACAATAACAACATTAATTCTTCCCTGCTGTCATTAATGTAATCAATTCTGGATTCTATTTAATATTTATTATTATTTTAAAGATACAGTGTTTATATTTATTAACACTGACGATGGAATTTAATGAAATTCCAAAACGTCCATATTAAAGATGTTTTTTGGTATTACTATGTTTTTAATATTGACTAAGTTTTCTTTTTTTGAAAAAAATAGGTAATGTTAGTATTTTTAACCACTGCAGCTAGACATACAAAGCTTCATGAGAGATAGGGAAATGTATGTAAATTCATCAAAAAAAAAAGTTCATACTCCTCTTTCCCACTAATTTTTACACAATAGTAAAATTTCTTTGTCAATTATCAGAGTATTACAGGATAAAACCAGTTGTTTACAACACTCAGTGAACTGCTTTACTAAATATGTGAAAAATGTCAGATTTGCTAAAAAAATATATGTTTCTTTTATTTTAATTATAATTTTATAGGAAAAAAACCCAAACTCTTACATAAATGTGAAGGAATCTTACAGGGTATTTCAAGAAGTAAAATAATAAGTTTTCAATATAGTACACACACTACACACAAAATTGCTAAAATTAAACTTTGTTTTTTTCCCTACTGACACACACACACCTAATATATTTCAGGCACATCTTGGAACATCTGAGACTATATCAATACTGTAATTTATGGTCAGCACCTACATTATAAGTTATTAGGATATTTATTTGTTAGTTTTGGTATCACCTATAGGGTCAGCATGCAGCTCACACCAATGGGAGTCTGTACTCGAGGAAGACTCTTTCCTTGCACAAGAGTGGACACAAATGGGTTGATTCCCACAAGACAAGCAGGAAACAATTTTGGATGACCACTTAGTTTGGGTTTCTTTATTGTGGTAATACACATTTTGTTTTTCACATTTACAAGCCATACAAATGACTTGTTTCTTGGCATTCCTTTCTTTCGTACGCTCTGCTAGAACTTTAGCTATTATGGCTGCTGATACACAGTCTGGAGGACTCTTTGACATCCTCTGTGAAGCTTGTGAGCTGCCATTCTGTTTCACAGATCCAACATTAGAGATTTTGCTAACTGAATACACCATGGCAGTTGGTGGAAATGTTGGAATGGGAATACGAATAGTACCCACTTCTGGATTATTATTCTGTGTTTCTTTTTTAGTCCTGTTATTTAGATGAGATTTGACTCGTTCTTGTAAATCTAAAGGAATCTGTAAGGGATGGAAGTTGAACATTCATTAAAATCCACAGTTTACATTGTGTGGAAATGGTCCAGGTTCAATAAAACTTCAAATTGGCAATAAAAACATGTTTCACAATAAACTTTGCTGTGTTTCTCAGAGTTGGCTTTTTTCTGTTTTCATAGCTTTTGCTTTTATAAAACTGCTGTTGAAACTACACGCAATATTAAAAATTGCAGAACATATTTTAAACTGTTTATTCAGCAAAGCTATTACAATCAAATTACACCAAACTCTTTCAGATTGGTTGTTTTTGGTTCATTAAGCCTCAACCACATATTGGTCCTAACTATAATGAGCCTAGAAATCTCATCAGAAAAAATGATAAAGTCAGATAAAATCTGCTTTAGGTATGTTTGAGTTAAGTGATTTTATCCAAATGTATACATAAATACTTTGAACACAAAAATATTTAAAAAATTAAAATCCAAAATAAAAACAACTAATTGTGAATTGATGCAAGTTTTAAACTCAGTGATCACTCAGGCTTCAAACTGGTACCTTTTTAGGTAGTATCGCCCAACAACAGTAAATTCTCCCTTCCCAATTTGTGCATACTTAAGAATACTCTGTATTATTCGTAGGTATGTTGATAAATTTGAATTTCAACTTATTTCATATTCTGCTTACCAAATTAAATAACATTAGCCATTACTTCTTTTATATACTGATATATATATATAGGGAAAGAAACGCATATAGCACATAAATAGAAAATCACGATACATAAAAAAACACTAACTTTTTAGTCATGAAAAAGTGTTATAATAAGAATGTTCTTGGGAGTAATAAAAATGTAGAAAGACAAAAAATACTTTACCGAGCTATATTTATGAGAAACAAAGTGTGAAGGTTTACACTGGAGGAGTTGAATAGCAATGTTACAGTCATTCCTATAGTGCTCCTGAAAGGAAGAACACACGTTGTAACCTCAACTATTTTAATCTGTAATAGTTACTACCATAGTAGAAATGAGTAATAACCTCTTTTTAAAATTATAGTTATATACTGCTTACTATACAGGTTTCTGAAGGAATCATTAAAAGGAAAATATCTAAACTGGAAATGCAAGAAACATATTATATATGATAAAACACAGAGGCTGTTGATTTTTTACTTTTAGCAGATTCTGTTGGCTATAACAGCCCAATAAATTACTTTAAAAAGCTTACACTTTCTTCTTCTAATTCAGTGATACTGAATCTAGCTTCAACTAATTTTGTTGTGATGTCAGAAAGATCTCTTGTTAATACAGCTTTTTCAGTTTCATATTTATCCACCTGCAAAACAACAACAACAACAAAATTAATGGAGTATTACTTCATAACAAATAAAGCATTTCCAGAATAAGAAATAAATCATGTGAGATTAATACTTTTTCAAATAACCAATTATTTATTGTCAAAAAAAATAATTATAATTATATTACTGAAAGATGCTATTTCTCTCAACCAACAAATTTATACTCACAATTTTTAAAAGTTTGTCTTCAAGTCCTTGGTTTACTTTCTGAAGCTTCTTGTGACTCTCATGCAGCCTGTAAAATAATAAAAAAAACAAAAAACAAACATAAATAAACTTTTTGTTAGTTACCCATGCAGCAGAGGTGTCGCTAGGTGCTTAACAGGTTCGTGGGCTGCGGACCATAGGCACTAAAATTTTCAGTGTTTCAATATGATATCAATCATGGTTTTCTATTCTCATTTTTCAAGATGACAACTAGAGATTTGGGGCACTGCCAAATAGAATCAGGACATAGACTTCATGTGCCAGTACCTAGCAATGTCTTTGCCATGCAGTCTGTCAACTTACAAACATTGATATTTATTTCATTACTGATCCCCTATGGAAAATGTGCTCAATCATTACTAAGTTTAACTACTTAACTCTCAAATTGTTTTTATACACCATATCATATTGAGTGATTTTATATTTTTGACTTTTACAACACTTGAGGTAAAGGAATGACCAAAACAATTGGACAAAATAACCAGCACTAATTAGAGAGTTTAACTGCAATATTAATGGAATTAGTATTTAAATTTTTGGGGCTCATGCATTATTAAGAATCTAGATTTTAAACCAACGCTGTTATCTTATTTGAAGATATTTCAAGTATGCCAAGTCTTAAAGCTGTACTGCAAAGGTTAACATAAAAAATATTCAAAATGAATATTACTTCTTTAGCTATAAAAAACTATACAACAATTAGGCTTATTAGCTTATACAAACCACCAGATTTTAAACATTTCAAACCTCCTTCTTCAAATGTTTAGCTTTTATACCTTTGGTATTTTTCTTGCCATAAAAGAAGTTCCTGGCGAAGGGCTGCATTCTCTCCTTTGGGAAACCTCTGGGCATGGTGGATAACGTTGGTGTCCATTTGAACAATGTGGTTCTCCCTCTCAACCAACTGGCATTTTAAGTTTTCTATTTCTTGGTGTAGGTGTATACTGTGACATAAGGACAACAGGTGTTAATGTTTCATAAAATTTCAAATTTAATAGTATTTGAGAAGTGTTCCCCAAAAGTATGGTGAATATCAGTTGAAATAAAACAAACTAATTATACAAAGTTGCAGTAGGAGTACGTTTTCAATATTTTATGTTAATCTTGAACAGCTGAAAAACAATGCTAGCTGTTTCTAATTTGCTAATTCTTTCAGAAACTGATAATTGTGATCTCTAACTCACCACAGATTATGTAAAATGTCAAAGTTTTAAGTATATATATGAGTGGCTGTATGCGACTTGTTGGCAATAAATTCAAACAATAAACAGATAGTATGCACTCCACTTGTTTTAAAATAATATATTCAAAACAATATAAATGTATGTACAAAAATTCTTTACACTATGGAGATCACAGTTGTATCTTAAGCACTATACAGTTCTCATCTTCTTGTCAAAAGTTCACTTAGGTAATTCAGTTGCTTTAGAATCCAGTTGACAAGTCAAAATATTTTTTTTCTACTTTTATCACAATAGTATTGGTGAATAATTCACTTACATTGTCTCTTGGGTTACCACAGTTGTATCATGAACTTCCAATAATTGTCTTTCCATCAAAGTCCACACAGGTGGGTTCAATTAATTTAGAACCCCCTTTAACAAGACAAATTGTTCTCCTTATCTCTATCAAACTGTTAATCTCACTTTAACTATCAACCTTTAAGGCTATTCACTCCCATGATGGCAAACTTCACGTTTTCCAACTTTCCAACTGACTGAACTTCTTTTCACTTTCTTTTTTCTCCGCTCCTGCTAGTTTTGTTGCTGCTATTTATATGTTTGTCACTGAGGCCTCTAGAAATCACATCAATGACTTGCAAACACAACGTATAATGGCCTTGACATTAATGAATTACAAACACAACGTGTGACTCTTACCAAGTTATGTAACCAAACTCGTCATAGCTGTCACCTTTAAATAATTGCTTTTAATTCGTGTTATGAAAAAACCTAACAATCATGAAATATTAACTCACAAAATAAATAAATTAATAACACCTCCACTAAACAGTTTTGTATATCCAACAATAAACCCCTCTTCAAGAAAAATATTTACAATATATTTTTTTACACAATATACAAAGACTGTTCTTAGATCATATACTAAGTCTTCTCATATAGTCTACACCAACATTTTTTGTTTGTCTCTCCTAGCATAGGGTCTCCAATAGAGCTTCACTTTGACTTCTTGTCTTCATCTTGATCTTGTGTTGTCTGGGATCTGTATTTCCTAATCTATCTGTATATTGAGTCAGTAGATTTTGTTCCTCTTTCTTCTTCTTACCAGTCAGTTCTCCATTTATGTTGACGTCTTTGTACGTCTCATCTCCACCCATTAGTCTTAGGCCTAGTAGGTCTTTATCTTCTATATTAAAGTCATTGTCTTCAGATTCTGCTTCTATGACAACCACACCTGCCATGTCCATCTGTACCTCAATAAATGCATCTGTTAGGTCTTCTTCCCCCTCGAAGTACCTCTTCAACAGATTGGTATTGTAGACCTTGGTTGTTCCATCAACTTTCACTTTATAGTGATTTCTTCTGACCACTTCCCGTACCCTGAAAGGTCCTTTCCACTGCCAGGCGAGTTTGTTGTTGGCTGTGGGTAGCAGAATTAAAACCTTATGTCCAACTCTGAAATGTCGACCCTTGGCTTTCTTTTTATAGAAGTGTTTCTGACTATCTTTGGGTTTGGCCTCCATAGTAGGACTGCTTTGATAGGTCCAGTTCAATATTTCTTTCTGGTCCTCTGTTTTGTAAGTCTCTTTCCTCTTACTCTTGTGCTCAACTTTCTCTCGGGCACTGTCCCAAGGTTTATGTGGTGAAGGGTCTTTTTTCTTCACTTACTTCAAATTTTTTCTACTTGGTATGTTTCCTATCACCAAGTCCTATATAGCTTCCTTGATACACATGGCCTCTAGGTCTCCTACATAATATGGAGTATCCACCTTTATTTTTGCTATGGGAAAATTTCTCACTGTCCCATCAATTAGCAAACACCAGTGTACCTTGCCTGTCATCTGATCATTGGATACTAGACTGGTTCTCACTGCTGCACTACTGCACCCAGTGTCTCGTAGAACCTTCACTTTCTTGTCTCCAACATAGCCTTCATATATTGGCATATTATGATATTTGTAGCATGTTCCGATCACTACTGGCACTGTTGATCCATTTGCTAACTTGAGCCAACAATTTGTTGTACATTGATCAATCATGGAATTGACACTTCCTTCTTGTGGTGAATCTGATGTGTTTTCTTGATTCTGTTTCTTCTGAGAGCAACATCCATGGTGTCAGTCACTCTTCACATTTCTTGCCAGCACTATCTTTGTAAATAGTTCCAGCTGCTGTATGTCGAGATTTTTGCTGTTGCTTGCTGGTAATGGACTTGATCATCTTGTCTACATTTTTTGGTGCTCTCTCCTTTAGGAACAATGATATATCAGTGGAACATGTGATCATCAACTGTTCTCATATTAGTAGATCTGCCAGTCCCTCAAAACTATTTTCACATTTGGCCATGTCAGTCCACCTGGTGAAGTATTGCTGTAGACGTGCCACAAATTGAAATACAGTTTCTCCAGTGTCAGGTTTGACTTCTCTGAACTTCTGGTGAAAACTTCTTCAGTAAGTTCATATCATTTCAGCTAAGCCACTTTTAATTTGTCATAGTCCATGGCATCTTCTGATGTCATGCCTGCATATACTTGTAGGCCTTTTTCTGTGAGATGTGGGCTCAGACAGACTGCCCAGTCACCTCTGTCCCAGTTCTGACTTTGGGCAAATCTTTTTATATCTCTCCAAGAAAGCATCCATGTCATCTTTATGTTCATCAAACTTGGGCAGCTTGGGTTGGGTGGCCTGACTCTATTGTCATTCTTGGGTCCTTTTTCTTTCTATTGAGTAAGATTGGCAATCTCAATTTGTATTCTCATTTTATTTCCAGTGTCTCCTTTCTCTCATTCTCTTCTCTTTCCTTTTCTTCTTTCAGTCTTTATCTTTACTTCTTTTAGTCTATCTTCCTCTCTTCTCTGTTTACACTCTTCTCTCTCTAGTTCTTGTTGTTATTTAACAAACTCTCATAGTTAATTGTCTTTTAACCCGAGAAACTCTCCTCTTTCTATCCATTTATCAAAATTTGACATGGTTATATGGCATGATTGTAATCTCCACACTAATTTCACTACTACTACAGTTGTGCAAATATAGGCCTACTTATTCTCACTGTTGTATCCATGTCTTTTTTTTATACTGATATTTACCACTGTACAATCCTGTCATGGATGCTAAAATGTCATTTTTAAGTATATATATATATGAGTGGGTGTTAAGGATTCTTCTACAGTAGGTGTCTGATTTGTTGGCAATAAATTTAAACAATAAACAAACAGTACACAATCCTCTTGTTTTAAAATAATATATTCAAAACAAGATAAACATACAAAAATTCTTTACACTATGGAGATCACAGTTGTATTTTAAACACTATACAGTTCTCCTCTTCTTGTCAAAAGTCCACAAAAGCCAAACTATTTTTCTCTACTTTTATCACAATAGTATTGGTGAATAATTCACTTACGTTGTTTCGTGAGTTACCACAGTTGTATCAAGAACTTCCAATAATTGTCTTCTTTCCGTCAAAGTCCACACAGGTGGGTTCAATTAGTTTTGAACACCCTTTGGCAAGACAAATTATTATCCTTATCTCTATCAAACTGTTAATCTCACTTTAACATATTAGCCATTAAGGCTATTCACTCCCACAATGGCTAACATCATGTTTTCTAACTTTTCTCTGACTGAACTTCTCTTTCACTTGACTTTACTTTTTCTTTATCTCAGCTCGTTTTGCTGCTGCTATTTATACATTTGTCCTGAGGCCTCTAGAAATTTTTATAGTCTTGACATCTATGAGTTGCAAACACAACGTACAATAGCCTTAAAATCAATGAATTACAAACACAATGTATGACTCTTACCGAGTTACATACCCAAACTTGTCATAACTATTGCCTTTAAAATAAAAGCTTTTTACTATCAGGTTATGAAAAAAAAACTAAACTACCACGAAATATTAACTCACAAAATAAATAAATTAATAATACCTCCACTAAACAGTCTTGTATATTCAACATAAAGTAAAACTAACAAAGATCAGTATCTGACTGGGGCTTATGAAATGTGGTACCATCTATTGAATGGCATCAAAAACACAAATCCATAAAATATTCTCACACTTTGGGTATTCAAGATTCAGACAATTAAAAAAAATAACTGTGGTATGTGCAACAACCATTTCTTTACAACAGAAAACAATTTTAAGTAAAAGTACTCTCCTCACAACAAGAACATGACTTTCTATGAGACTGTACGTGAGGGTTTGATTATATCATTATTGATATTTTGAAATGTAGTATTAAAAACTGGAGTTCTTAAAAAAAACTTTATTATTTTTTTCAATAACATTACAGTTTATATCAGTAAAATATATGAAAATATTGAGTTCTGTACATTGAATACTTTTGATGCAGTGAGTTGTGTATGACATAATCCTAACACTACACGTGCAACACATTTCATAAGCCTCAATCACCACTTCTGACATTGAAATCTTGTTGTATTTTAGCACAACAGAAGGCACCATTGTATGTATTATTTTGGACACAAACATGTATAGATGTATATATGGCCATGCCATTGCTCCATTATAGTAAGATACGGCAACTAACCACTAATAGTTACTTTTGTACTGCAACTAACCACCAATAGCTACATTTGTACTGCAACTAACCACCAATAGCTACTTTTGTACTGCATCTAACCACCAATAGTTACTGCATCTAACCACCAACAGTTACTTTTGTACTGCATCTAACCACCAACAGTTACTTTTGTACTGCATCTAACCACCAACAGTTACTTTTGTACTGCATCTAACCACCAACAGTTACTTTTGTACTGCATCTAACCACCAACAGTTACTGCATCAAACTACCAATAGTTACTTTTTCCACCAAAAAACTGTGCAACCTGAGTAACTAAATTTTTGCATTGTCATAAGAATTATTAGCATGGTATTTTCAGATAAACAAATTTCCACACAAGTATCAGACAGGTCTGCTTACTAATGGGAGGACCAAATATGAAACTTGCAGAGTAATCTGAATCTGAAAACTCGACTGAGTTTTACATCCAGTGAGAAATAATATTGGACATATTTGATGGAAATGAAAATAATCTTTGGTTAGCCACAAGAAGAACCAAAAAAAACAAAAAACAAGTTTGCTTACCTGCTTAGACAAGTGGATGACTGCCCCTACTGGATCAGTGAATAGATCGTCAGCTTTACGTCCCTCAAGATGAATCTCTGCCGAACTAGTCACGATGAAAACCAAGTAGGACTGAGAAAGAATAGATGCTTTGTTCATGCAAGAAAGCTTGTATCCTTTCTCTTGCAAGGGCATCGTCACATGACTTGTCATTCTACCACAGCATAAGTTTGCTGTGACATACAAACACCATCCACTCAGCCAGCAAAGGACGTTGTAGTTGACCCTTTTAATGTAGATGTACCACAACATCCCCTCAGGCAGAGTAGATATTATCTGCAATAGAGAACAAAGACAAGAAGGCAACTGGAACAAGACAACTTCAGTAGTTTTGTGGATCACATGTTTATGCCAAAACTACACAGAAATTAACCAAATAAAGATTTTTAAAACTTTTTATATTAAAAAAAGCAGGTAGTAAACATATGATATGCCAGCATATCACATTAGTACACTCAAGCACCCCAGTTAGTATTGTTAAACTTTAGATGCTTAATAATTATCTCAAATAACTAAATATTTTGAGATCAGTTTTTTTAAATTTCCTACTATCAAAATTAAAGAAAAATAAATGGTTTGATTACTTACCTGTTATTATTTACACAACTTTCACAGAAGCAGCCACACTCCTAATAAACAAACAGAGGTAATGTTACTATATTATACATCCTAACTTCATGACTGAACAATGAAAATCAGAGAAATGCAACAATAAAAACAGTATTCACATGAACCTTATTTCATAGTCTTTCAGTCTTAATTAATGAGTGTTGGCTCCTAAGTTTAAACAATGAACATGATCAAGAAACTCAAGCATAATGGTTCATTATCATTTTTATTCAGTCTAATTAATAACTGTTTGTTCCCTAGTTTAAACAATGAACATGATCAAGAAACTCATACATAATGGTTCATTATCATTTTTATTCAGTCTAATTAATAACTTTGTTCCCTAGTTTAAATATGAACATGATCAAGAAACTCAAACATAATGGCTCATTATCATTTTTATTCAGTCTAATTAATAACTGTTTGTTCCCTAGTTTAAACAATGAACATGATCAAGAAACTCAAACATAATGGTTCATTATCATTTTTATTCAGTATAATCAATAACTGTTTGTTCCCTACTTTAAACAATGAACATGATCAAGAAATTCAAATGTTATAATTTTCCTATACTGAAATTGTATTTCTGATGTGTACTTCTCTCTGTTTACAAGATTAGCTATTCTCATCCATTGCTGCCCTCTATGTGCAAACTTCTTATTACACATGCCATCAAATGATTCCAATGTGTCTCTCTCATACAGATCATCATGTGCCACTTCTCTACTATGCGGCTTTATCAAATTATCACTTTGCAGTTTTGCAGATGATGGAAGTACCGGAATTGAGTTGGGAGTAAGGGTGGGAAGTGTGTGTTGAGGGAAGTACCTATCAGAAATAGGAGGGATATAATAACTCAATCCCACAATAAGAAAAATGGGTAAACGAGGATATGTCCCATGGTGTAGAGTGGCTAGTGCATGGTGGACTGTACTCGGTAAGTCAACTACCTCCAGAACCTCCTCACGGGGTACCAACATCTGCGCAAGGGTAGGATTATACTGGATTAGTTCTGAGCTATAGATCTGGGAATTTGACATCCGGTATCAAATGCAGAAGGAGGAAATCGAGGGAGGAAGATAGACAACCCTAAATCTATGTGAGGAACTGTGTTGATCGGTTCCCTCAAAATCCAAAACTAGCTCGCGAGGTACCGACATACACACAAGGGTAGGATGAGGGCTCCCAATCAAGGGGGTGAACCACAATTTGACATCTAACTCTGCTGTATGGTTAATCACAAATTGGAGGCTATTATGTCATCTACACTGACAGAACACTACTGCCCTACTCTGAACTGAATGATTATAGCCATCTTATATGGAGCTCATCCAGCAGGGTGCCTCCATGGTCAACCACACCAATGGCTTGGAACTGGTAAGTGGTAAGGACTCCCATACTCTTCTAGAAGAAAATGGGGCTGAAATGCATTGGAAAGCCCAGAGGAACATCGACATCCCAGAAAATGCAATGGGTGATCATGAAACCCCATTTTGAAAGGCAGACCATACTGATTTATTCAATCACGGCATGGGATCTGCTTTACCCATCAAGTACATGCGTGATACGGTCCGGGGTGGGTCAATTTATGAAGCAAGTATCGTGAAATTATTCACCTACAAGCAATCTGGTGAAATGAAAGGGAAGCTCTAGTCAACATGGAGTACAGTGCAGATTTAGAGTTAAAGAATACCTGGTCAGGCACTACTCGCCACAGAGTGAGATCCATTTAATGGAAGTATGAAGAATGGGCCGCTGAAAGAAAAAAGTATTCAGAGTCACACCAAAATCTGAAGTACAACTACAAGAAGAAGGCAAAAACCCGAAGAAGACGAAACTGAGATATGATGTAAGTAATGGGAGATGAGCATGTTAAGGTTGGTCCATATGCCTGATTATAGGATTTCCTCCTAAGGCCAACAAAGACGAGAAGCAAGGGAAAAGATTAGATGTCAGATTTGATGAGAGGTAACACAGAACAAAGTACGGTGGGAAGGGGACAAGGAGGAATAAACCAACTGGATCAAACGACAAATCCAATTGGTGAGGGTAAAAGGGGAGAGATTTCTGGATGATGAGGGTTACTACAGGACAAAGAGATGGGAATGGAGACCATGAAAGGAAGCCATGCAGGCAATATAACAACAAAGGGCATGCACAGGACATAAATTCTATCCATATCAGGACATGGGTAGAGATGAGAAATAGGGAAGGGAAATAGGTGAAAAGGAGTAGTTACCCTAACAAGCCACTAGATAAAGAAGAAGATAAGTATGGTGGTAAAGTGTGTGTGTAACATCTATGGCTAACAAGCCAGACTGCCGACAACCACAGGCCAAAAGGAGAAGGAAATATGCTTTAAGAGACAGGTGAAACAAAGATCACAAGGAAATAGGTTCAAAAGGAAGTAAAGTAAGGGAATGGAGGACCACATTAACATCCCAATCTGGAAGAGCATGTTGACGAATCTGGAAGGAACTGATTAACATGGTAAGGACGGGTGAGAGAAAAACTATGCATTAATGGGAAAGATTAAAGGTATGGAATAAATTGCCCAATAACCTGAAATCAAGAAGACTGAAAACCCCAGGTCAAAAAGCCACATGAGAAACTTGGGGATACCAATAACAGAAGGACGAACAGCAGAAAATCCCCAAACCTGGGCCTATGTGCAAAAGTCTTTCCACTTTTGCTGATACACTTCCATGAAGGAAGGGCGGATGGATTGAACCAAATAAAAAGCTACATAACAGGATAAACCAGATCTCCTTACCAAGGACCGGACAAAAACCAGATGCAAAGATGGAGGACGTAAAGTGTGGGATGCAGAACCAGTGACTGGGGTTGATGAAGGAGGTTGGGCAATAAGGTTGAGCCAGCCAGTATGGAGCAATGAGAAGGACCCAGCACAGAGTGGCATGGGTAACAGAAATTACCCCATGAAATAATCAGATAGGAGGATAAACATATTGGAATTTGTGTGACCAATCCTGGCTGAAGGCATCTGAAGGGATGAGGTACTGGGGGCCAAAAGATGGGTAACTGGATACTTAAGGTGGTGGCAAATGCATCGATGTGATGAAAACCTCACAGATTGCAAAGCCATACAGGCAATCTGGAGATAAAGGTTGACCCATATAATGTTTTAATCTCCCTGCGAATAAACGTAGACAAATCTCCTGATGGCTCGCCAGCACCTGCAGCTTGTGGTAAAGTGCCTATTGAATGTGAGACACCTGAAGTGGTGACATTTACTTTGGAATTCATGTTGTATAAGTCGACAAAAGCATTTGAAGGAAAAAATAAATGCAACTAAAAGAAGGGTAATTGAACCTAAATGCTTTAAAAAAAGAACTGAGTATGTGAAATTAAACCACATCGAGAACTAATTCAATCTCAAACACTAATCAAGATGAAAAAAAAAAACATGTCTGAGTGCAAGTGCTGCTAAACAATAAGTGATAATTCAGTAGAGGTGCATAGAGGGAACCACATGCATCACATGAGTGTACTATTCTCCTATTGGTGGAGAAGTGGCACATGATAGTTTGCATGAGACACACACATTGGAATCATTTCATTTCAATAGGGGGTGCAGAAGACTTGTGACATGCATAATCAAAAAAGTTCACAAATAGAACAGCAATGAACAACAAAAGCTAATTTTGTGAGCGGAGGGAAGTACTGTATCAGAAGTAATGGTTCATCATTATTTTTATGGCAACTGAAATTTGAGATTTGCAGTTTAAACACTTATAAAGTAAGATCTGAATGAAAATAACTAAATAATTTGACTGTTAAAATAATACTTATATTGATTATAAAGCAAAATTATGTATAAAGTTAACAACAAACAAACTGCACTATTTTGTTAATTTAAATGTAGTTGATCACACGAACTGGCTCATGATTAAAACATTTGACTAATTTTGAGATAGTTGCAAATCAAAATGGAGAAGATAACTTGAAAGAGAGTTGAATTACATCAATAATTAACAACTTTAAACATTCACTAACTTGTTTATTGGAGGAGATAACTTAAAAAAGAGTTGAATTACATCAATAATTAACAACTTTAAACATTCACTAACTTGTTTATTGGAGGAGATAACTTACAAGAGAGTTGAATTACATCAATAAATAACAAAACATTCACTAACTTGTTTATTTTTGGATATTGAACAAAGTTAAACAAGGACTATTTGTTGCACTAATCATCTCTAATTTTGAACTGACTGATAAGAGGCAATGCAGCTACTCAAAAGCACTCACTATCAATTCTTGAGTTGCTCTAATCAAACAGTGGAATTTGCCTGTGAATTTTGTAATGTACTCATGGTCTCAGACTTCATAGCATTATTGTATGGCAATGGGACAAGAACCATGGACTCTCAGATTCACTGTCTAGCCCACTGATCTCTAGATCACATATAGCCCTACATCCACTCAGTAAGCCATGTGTTTATTTTTACACTTTAATGTCTAGTTTCATATTTACAATTGAAATTATTTGTACAAATATATATCTGTATGCCCATAATGTCCTTGTTTCTCAATTTTTCTTTTTTTAAATCCTCTTTTCTTCCTCATGTACTGGTTTTGGTCTAGCTGTTAGTTTGGATACTTTTATATATATATAATTTTATATAATACACAGTAAGGTTATTTAACCAATGTTCTCTTAATCCATTAATTTATTTTTATGCTAATAATGACGAGGATCAGAATTTAGGTCTAAATAATGAATGTAAAAATGTCAAGTTGCTGAGTAAATAAATCTCAAAAATTATAACCTTAAGCATTATTAATAAATCTCAAAAATTATAACCTTAAGCACTATTAATAAATCTCAAATATTGCTTTTATATGATATGTTCTTATTAACATTAAAATTTGCACACTATTTTGCAAAATTTAAGTTCAACTTTTAAACTCGCACACATGAGGGATAAACTTTATATTTTTACC